AGGACTTGGGCAGCAGCAGGACAGCCAGTGCCAAAGGACAAACAAAAAGAACTCTGTCAAAGCAGTGTTGTTGGGAAGAAAGACTAAAAGGCCTCCGTACAAAGGTCTGTTTATATGTTTACTGGCAGTGGCAGAGTCGTTTGAGTATTACAGCTTGTATCTTAGAAAGGGAAAACAAAGGAAAAGAAGATGAAATAACAAAAAAAAAAATTAAAAAAAAATGAACACATCACAAAGCAAAGCAGTGAATTGCATGGCACAGTTACACAGAGAGGCTGTTGTGCTTGCTGCCTCCTCCCACCTTGCTGCAATCCTGCACCCAGCTCTGGTGGGCTCAGTGCCCTGAGCCAGCAGCAGTACGTGTCACAGGGACTTTCTGACAGTGCAGCAGTTGTGAGGACCGATGGAGGCTATGGAAGATGGTAGCATACAGACTGTTTCTCTGATGCACTGCAGGCAGCTGAAACGTGCATAATCCTGACCTTCCCCATGACTCTTTTGCACAGCCAACCTAACAGGGAATTTAGCATCTCTGCTCATCTGTTCCCTGACAACGGCAGGGCAGTTTTTCAGGCTGACATTCTCTGCAGCTTATTTAAATATACTTACTTAAGGAGCAGTTGGTCACAGGAACAGATTTGTTGCAGATGCTCATTTAGTCTGCTCAACAAAGCCTAAAACAAATGGCTGAACTTAGATAAACTACACCAAGGGCTGGAACATGAATTACCCCTTCCTGCTCCTCCTCTTGGTTGTTCAGTATGGACTGTGCCATTGCATGTTGTCTGAACCTCCTCTTCTCTGGGGCAATATCTGCTGTTACACAAAGGATGTGCTGGCTCAGGATAACTGATAAAATTGAAGCACTTTCCATTGTCCTTGTCTTCAACTCTTCCTTCTCTCCCTGCCACCTCCTGTCCCTGCCACACTCTCACACACCTTACATCTCACCAGCTCTGCTCACATCTGTTCTCACTCTCACCACACAGAGTCTATTCCGTAGAGATCCTAGGGCTCTCTTCTCTTCCTGTTTCACTTACAAACACACACCAACCTCTTGCTTTCCCCAGCCTCCAGAAACAACCGTCTCTCATTTATCTGGCCCGGCCTCCACCACATCCACCATCCCAATGACACAAGAGCTCTGAAAAACAATGTGTGAGCACTCAGCCTGGTTCTCTGTGCTGTGTCATGAAGCCTGCTACAGTTCCCCAGCAGTCCTTTTGCATCCCACACAGTCTGGGTACTCTGCCGACACATGAAGGGCTCTGTTACTCTGGCAGGACGTGTTACTGTCCTCAATATATGAGTGACATGAGGACAGAGCCACTGTCCTGACGCTCTGATAATAGGAATTCTTTCCTTTAATCCGTCCAAAGAAAAAAAATCAGATAGCTGTGTGGGTAATCCAAACCCCCTCCAATACTAAGCCTGTATTTGATGTATAATGAAGAAAGCTGAGTCACTGTACTTAAAGATACACTGTAGAAGATGCTTCACAATACAGCCCCTAATCATATAAATTTGACAGATTAGTCATTTCACTAATGAGAAGAACAAGAAATGCATTTTAAGTGTAGAAAAACAAACCTTTGCAGCTTGATGCTCCTTGCCAGTCAAATGTGATGGACAGCTTTGAATTGCTAGTTCCCAAACACTGGTGAAGTGCATCTACTGCTCCTCACTGCTTCCTTCCGATTGGCTGACCAGGACTTTTCAGCAAGCAAAGAAAAGGCTGCCACACTCACTTTTTGTTACAGGTCAAACACATCCTGTGATCTACCACGGCCCAATCCAAAGCTTTCCCTATCACAGTGAGCTTCAGAAGATTACGCTATCAGTGCCTCGTTTGCAGTACGTATCTCACGTGACATGAAAATGTTTGGCTTGACGAGAGCTACAGCTCTCATCCCCCACCATTAAGACTTCCAAAATGCTCACTGAAGACACTGCAGATGTGTATGGGAGGTGAGTATGAACGCGGAGGGATCAGGGAGAGCATATTAAGACTAAGCGGGGAGCTGCATGCTGCCCAAAGGCAAGGTGTCTTCAGGAGCTCCTTAGGAGCAGCGTGGGTCTTGTGGTTGGTAGAGCTGGGTGGCCAGGACAACCTCAGTATGAAAACATATATATACACACACACACATATGCACAATAAAAACGAATAGCTGCTTTACCACTCCTCTTTATGTCACACCCATAACTGCTTCCTATGCATTACACCAATAAACTGGGCCTCTTCTCTCACATATATTAGCCTCCAACTTCAGAGGATGCCAGCCCAGGCCCTGAGGCCGCCCTGCCCACACACAGGGCACAGTCCCCGCTCCCATTGGGTGTCTGAAAGGAGGGCATTGATGTGCCTTCATAATGCAACCATTACCAGCGAGATACAGAGCCAGATCGATCAAAGGCAGAGCAGCAGCTAAATTCAGAGGATTCCAAAATTGAGGTCAGATTCAGTAACTCCTAGACAGATGCCAAGAGAAGCTACACACAAATAGGAAGGTAAATTTTAACTGTGCCAACCTAAAAACGTCACTTGCAGTGATGGATCGAATGCATTTTAGCAAGAACTGTAATCTCCTCTGCCACTACCACCACTCAGCACCACACCAGCATTAGCAAAGGTGCCTGTGCCCTTGTGACTAACTCTAAACCTCCCCTTACCACAGACTGTACAGCACAAGCCCTGCGAATGGCCACTGTGGTGCTCTGCAATGCCCCCAGGGCAGTGAGGCACTGCCCTTTTCATGGAAGAATTCTTGCTGGTGGGCCACTCAGAGCAGGGGAGCTTCCTCAGATGAAATGCCTCAAAACACAGCCAGACTCTGATCAGCAGGGAAATGCCCTGCTTATACCTGTATTCCACTTCCAATGAGCTTGCTGTTGCTGCTGGAGGAGATTTATGGACTCAGACACGAAGGCTGAGATGCCACAGAAGCCTAGGTTATGGTTCTGGATTTACATCAGAGAAAATAAAACTGCTGTAAATCCACACAAACCCACAGTTCAGCTTAATTATCTCAGTCGACCTTGGCTTCCTGTGCATTTTCTCCTCATCTGTTTGGAGTCAGCAAGCTACTACAAGTGATTACATGATTTGCATAACTGGTAATTATGTGTATCACAGTGACATTTAAACACCCTATCTGACAGTACCCCACAGCAGTAACAGTCTATAAGCCAACACTGCAAAGATGGCTGAGGTTGGTGGCAAACAGCAATCCTGATTCAAGATCAAATTCTGAATCAAACTTGCTTTGTGATGCTGTATATCCCACTTGCAAATACCAATGTGGCTTTGGGAACACATGACCCTTTCTGTTTCTGCCACTGCCCTGAACTGCTGACAGGTCTGGCCTTTAAAAAGAGTGAAATGATTAAAAAATATATATCTTCTGTATCCTAGTGTGTTTTATGTTGCACTGACAGTCCTCTAAGTCAGAGCTCAAGGACATGAATTTCCAGAGAACCAGAAATTCATGCGTGAATGCAAGCAGTTTTAGAGACTTTTTTGGTGTTCAAGGATAAAGATGCCATGAAGTAAGCTATAATAAAACTCCTTAGCAGTAACTGTATAGATTGACAGTAAGTCCCCACACCAGAGATCTTGCAATCTAAGCAGATAGTGAGAAAAAGCAGGGGAGGAGGAAATGAGGCCACAAAGCGGTGATCAAAGAAAACTTTGCACCAAGACAGCAGCCTTGCTCTCTCGGCAAGTGCGTTTCTCCAGTCCTGCTGCCTCATTCTGGTCTGTTTTGCTGTTTCGTCCTTCACCTCAGAAAGCAAAGTAAAAACACACTACAACAACACCCAGTGATGGGCAGCACTGGATCCCTGTTTCCTCTCGCTCATTAGCTCCTAATTCCTCAATTAAACAATCAGGTCCCCCACACATTGCCTCAGCTTAAGAGCACCTGAGAAGAGTACTTCTCCTTTTATAAAGAAAAGGCCAATCCCCTTCCTTCTGTAATCAGTACTTCTCCATATGTATGGGTGTGCCTGCAGAACGTTCTGTGAAAAATCGCTTTCACGTCTTCCCACAGCTCAAGCCCATCTGTAACAACTGCAGCATCTTACCTCTCAAGTCCTGTATGACTGCTCCTGCTTATTTGCTGGCTAAGAACAGTTCAAAGTTAGGTTAAAATGAAGGAAAGAGATCTTGTTATCATCATTGCAAACAGTTACCAATAACGTGTTCACCTGAATGCTTACATGGGATTTCTTTTATTGCTGGCTTTCTCATTTTGGCTATGCACAAGAAGAGACTCTTAAAATCCAAACCTGTTTTCTTTTAGCAGATATTCATTTCCACTAGAATTGCTTATGAAATGACTTTAGGGTCTGAGAGCCTTAAGATTCTCCTGCTGCTGAGAAATTACGGATAGTATCTCAAAGTGCTGACAACAGCCAACAAACATTGCTAGAAAGATCTCTTTAGCATGCATGGATGGATGCACCGAGGGCACTACTGCCGGTACAAGAGACATTCCCCTTGCACTGCACAACTGGGCTTTAAGGAGGGAAATCTGCACAGAGTGAATTAGCGTTTATTTCTAAAGCAGGAAACTTGCTTTGCATATTTCATTTTTACACACTCACACTTCCTCCCCCCAGCTCCCCATAACAAGGAGAATGCTAAAGCCCTAACACAGTTTACAAATAGACAAAACCCCAGCGGGCATCCTGCGAAACCTGCCTAGGGAACGGCCAGTAAATGCTGACTCTGAATTGCAGTATTTATGGCCAGGCTGAGCGGTGCGTTATTCTGCACATAGCTGGTGGACATACAGAAGGTGTTATTACTTGTGAGCAGTAACAGCAGAGACCATCCTCTGTGCATGCACACACAAGAACAAGGTGTATCAATGCACAACAGCTGAGCTGTTTCCTGCCGCCAGGCCCGAGCATCTTCTCTGCCCTAGCCCATCCCCAGCAGATGTCCTCCCATGGGCAGCAAAGCCCTGGCTCAGCTGCAGAGCACCGTGGCACGTTACCTGCTGTCTCTCTGTCCCCTGCCGACAGCTCTCCATTGATTCCATTCTCTCTGCTGCGAGCATACGTCCCCGGCTGCTCCCGGCTGCCCAGCCCAGGCTCCTCGCCCTCTTGGTAGGGAAACCCATTGGCACTTCTGACCAGTCCGGCACCCGCGCTGCTCTGTTCCTTAATTTCAGGTGAGTGTGGGTGCGAAGCAGCCTCTGTTAGCTGACCCGAAGTCCAGTGCGGTGCCTTGGCTTCATCTTTCCTATCCTCTGCCATTTCTACTCTCCTTCACCACTTGTCCTGTAACGACATTAGCAGGAGAGATCAGAGCCGAGTGGACTACTATGCCCGGACAACAGTCAGCCACCAGGCACAGCTCAGGGTTGGTACCAGAAACTGACGTCCTGCAAAGGAGAGACGGCTTAAATGAACAAGTGTCTTCTTGCCTGGCCCAGCTGTGAGTGAACTTGCTTGGAAACCAAAAGGAACCACGAGCAATCGAAGTTATGGGTCAAATCCACCCTGGCTCCCAAGTGCCTTGCAATTATTAGCACAGGTTGCTCTTCTGTTAATCTGATTTTAACTCGTTAAATACAGTGAAATGTTGACCCAATTAATGAGATGTGAATTGCCATCAGAATTCAATGACATCTTCATGGGTGACAGGGGGAATGCAATAACAGTTTAAAGACGTGAAGCCACTGTTAACATTTTTGTTGCAGTTGTGAACTTGGCTTTTGCAGAGCAGGGAGCTCTTCAGCCACAGGATTCCTCCTCTATGGTACGTGCGGCCTGCTGTGAGCCACGACAGAGACAACACTTGAGAACATGCACTGGGTTCCCCAACGGCCTGAACCTGTGTGCATCCCTCTTGCATGCAGCTGGGTGAGCAATCACACTCATTCCCTTTTTGTCCAAAATAGTGTGTGGGAGACATTTGTTTCCCATAGAGTCATTTGCATTCTCCAATGACTATCAGTATTTATACATAAACAAAACTAACCATTATTTGCTACTTCACATGTACTCCACTCCTGTTAATTAGCTCATGCCAGAAAAAGAAGCCACTGTATGAGCCCCAGGCTAGGGCTGTGCCTCGTGGAAAAACAGCCCAGTAGGTAGCCTAGGAAGGCAGCATACAGTAATCTGTGTTTTGATAATAAGGTGAATCTAGGGAAAGAAAGGCTTGACCTAAGCAACATCGAAGCGAAATCCAGCAGGCCTTGCAGTTCTTTCTTCCTGGAAGAAAAAAAGCATCTAAAAGCAATCAGCTGAATGCAGTCAAGCAGCCACGTGTCACAAAAGGCTGAGCAGTCTAGAGAAGAAGGCAGAGAACTGCACAGTGCATATGTTCCGAGGGCACTGAATCAAGAAACTTATCACAAAGGAACAACAGTTTCCAAGGAGCCAGGTCAGTTTGCAGAAAGCATCTAAACACAATGAAAGACTATCATTGCTTGACTGACAATTATTCACAATTGATAACTCAACCCCCTTCTGATCAGATACAATGGCTTTCAGAGTTGCTTTAAATTAAAAAGTCATGGTGAATCATGAATATGAGATTTCATTCACAATAAATATGTGACACAAACAATAATTCCACCCCAAAAAGGAGGGGCCCTGCTGTTCTGGTAGGTGCAGCCCTGTTCCTACCCCCACCAGCACCATTCCCCCAGGGATAAATGACTGCACAGAGACTGCAGGAGCAGGTAAAAATTCCAGCCCAATGTTCCTTTGAGCTGCAACAAAAACAGTGGGCTGAGCAGCGACACAGAGCTTGGTGACCCTGAGATGTGCCCCTGCTAGCCACCATTAATATGCTCCGAGGGCTGAACAAAGCCTATTCTGGGAATGCAAGGCAAGACTTCCATCTTCATCCTTCGAAGAAGCTCAGAAAACAAACCAACCAACCAACCTAAACCCAGCTCAGCTTTCCCTTCACCAGTGCAGTGCATTTTGCAGCTCAGCCCAGAGTTACATGAGAGAAACCCACTGCCTCCTTAGGGAGTAAGGCGTGAGCATGGCGAAACGTGCTCCTAAAACTCATTTGGATGGAGGCAATGGCTGTTATCCCACCATCACAGCTCAAAGGCTGTTATCTCTCAAGTGCCCTGTTCCAGGCAGACGCTCCCCGCCCCACTGCGAGCTCTTGAGGAAGGATATTCACATCTTTACAATGGACCGTGTCACAGAAATCCTCTGTGAAACTAACAGAAGTGCTTTTATCTTTAAAAATAAATACAGTGGGCAGGCTTCAATGAGAGCTGTGTATCTGGAGGCAGAATTTGGCTCAGTATTTATAATAGATGGTTACAGAGTGAAACATGGATGAATTCATTCTTGACTCCCTGTTATTCATCAAGTGCCCTCAGAGTTTATAATGGTAGTAGAAACAGTGCAAGTGAGTCACACAATGCATCTTTGTGCTCAGCAGTTCAGCAGTGAGCATCTGCCATACAGCTCAGGTTCACAGACAGCACACACAGGTGTGCCTCTTACCACCAGGTTAGCTGTTTTTCTGTCATTTAATTAGCATACCATGGGCTTCAATTAATCAGGCAATTTAAAAATTGGCAGAGAAACAGCAAGAATGGACAAATATTATGGCAGTATTTAAGAAGCATTATGTATATAAAGAGAAGAAATCTGGAATAGCTTGAGCAATGTAGGGAAACACAGTACTTAGGGAAGCATATTTCCCCTTTCCACTATGATTTTCTTTCTTTTTGCATCAGCTGCAATAAAGGTTTTCAAAAAACACGAGGAATGAAGGAACAGGCAGCCCTCTCAGAACGTCACATCGCCTCAGTTAAAACAACCTGGAGATCGCAGGCCACAGGAGGGCCGGCTGGAGTGCCTGTGCTCCACCACAGCTGCCAGCAGCTGCAGTGACTAGACACTCCACAGCCCTTCAATTCACATCCTTGTAACTCACACGGTGCACTGGGGCTAGCCTTGTGGATCTGAACTGGACATCCTGCCTTCTAAGCTAATAGCTTGTCGTAGAAACGGCTGTAAAAACTAATTCCCTCTTCCTTTTCAGTCATTAGGGAGCTGTAGTGAGAAAGAAAAAGCTTAAACAACTTGGAATTGAGACAGAGGGACAAATCCCATGGTGAATCTGCAGTTCAACTTCGCAGTTACCTCCTCTTTTTGCAGACGTATTTCTTAACCCAAATGCCCCTCTATGTGACAGAGGCTCCTGCTGCGTTGACTGGGCTGAACGCAGCCCAACCGCTTTGAACTCAACGGGCAACAAACCACCCACGGTAACTCGCTCTGAGAGCAAGATGCACAAAGCTCCAGATAATGCTGATGTAGACATCCTGCCATGCTGGCTGTCCTACATATGAGTTCATCTTGTGGAATCATCTTAGCATTACACTAATATTGCCTTGGCATGTCAGCGGATGAATTTGCTATGAATTTCACTTTTTAAGAGAACAGAATTAGGCCAATACTGAAGGATTTTGCAAAGTCCTTGCTTTCCTGGGGGATGTAATCTAGCTCATACTGGTAGATACCTTAACAGAGAAAACCTTTAATTCAGATCCATGTGCCAGCAGGCCAATTTGGTTAGTGCATCTGAGTACCAAGTACCAGGCAGCATGGATTAAAACGTCCCAAGGGAACACACCTCACTCACAGCCCTGCCCGGAGAAGGGGAGGAAAGCAGTTGAATATCAGGAGGCAACAGTAAGAACAAGAGCCAGAAGGTGGGCAAATGGCAGCAACCTCCTGCCACCCCAAAAACTCAGCCTTGGCTTTCACATGTAGGTCACAAATACTGCTGGGGCTACAGTTCTAAGTGGCATCTCCAGATAATTAGAAAATAAGGGGACTGATTTTGGATGCCACAAACACACGAAGAGATCTGCCCCCAAATGTCACCCTTGCATTTCACTTAGCATACATTCTTTCTCAACTGAATTCCATTCAGACGTGAGCCGTGTGCCTCACACAGATCAGAGGGCAGACAGCAAACATATCCTGTGCGTTAGTCCTCATACCTACAGTGCTTGGTCATGCTCTGCAAGCTGCCAGGAGATTAATAGAAGTCACAGGTGATCTTAAAGGCTCAATACCATAATTCTGGTAACAGAACATATTACTAGATAGAATTATACGTTTCCCTCAATTGGAGTCACTCTGCCTCTGAAGCTTAATAAAGGACAAATAGGCTTCTCCGGTAATTTGTAACAAATACAATTTACTTCTTCCTTGTCCGCTGCCCGAGTTATTAGATTGCAGCTAGACCCCTCTTTCCAGACAAGAGCAAGACAATCCTCTTAAATACCACCTCATGTCTGTCAAAAATTGAAGCAGCATTCACCTATGCACACTTGTATTAGCATTCGGGTTTTAAAGGCTCTTCCATTCCTGTGCTGCAAACCAATAGTCAATAGCCACGTATTTTTTGTAGAAAATCCTTTCAATCATTCTTCTGATCATATCTTGAGTTACAAAACTGTTGAGAAATAAAGGATGGTGCCTGGATCACAGGCAGAACAACGGCAGCTCCCTGCAGAAAGGGCAGGAAAAATGTACTGCAAACCGCATCCTTGCCAGCACTGAAATGAGGGATGCTCCAGTCTCCAGAGCAGCCGAGCAGACCTCCACCAGCACTGCAGAGAGTGAGCACGGAGCCAGAGAGCTGCTGCCACGCTCCTCCTTGCCTGTGTGCTCCCTGGGGATACGGGGACCGACCTGAATTCCTGTGGTGGGGTGGGAACAGCACGAGGAGGGACTGGGGTCCAGGCAGTCACTCTGCTCTCACTGCCATCTCCTGACCGTGTGCCAGGGTTTCCTTAACTCAGTGACAAAATTGTGAGGTGCACTAGGCCAGGCATGGCTAACCCTCACCCAGAGAAGCATAAAACATTAAAATCAGTGCAAGTCTAAGGAAAGTTCTTCCAAAATACGAAATTCAATCCACAACAGAGAAATCACTTCTGACACGTTTCCTCACTTGAGAAGTTCCCTGAAATCTAGAAACCGATCTCCAACTGATTTCATAATGTAGAAACCACACTTAAGAGTTCCTTCATTCCCATTTCATGGCTTTAGCTTTGATGATGCCAAGGAACAAACACACCAAAGCCTACCATTAAAATTGAAAGATAAGCTGATGATGCTGACAACGGTGATAAATGGATTCATAAATATTGCAAGCAGCATCCAAGTCAACAATAAGCCCTGTTAGATTATCAGAAACTATGGACGTGGCTTTAGAAAGGCAGGAGCTTCTGGGTGTATATAAGATCTCTGACACTGCTGTGATGATTTCGCAGCCAGAT